GGAGCTCACCGGAGGCGGGCGCAGGCGGGCGCGCGGCCTCGGCGGCCGGGCGGACATAGGCCTCGCCGGAGGAGGACGCAGAGGCGACGCTCGTGAAGTCCAGGGGCGCGGTTGGCGCGACCGACCGAGGCGCGGGGCCGGCGCGGGCTTGGCCTGCCAGGTCGTGCGGCCGGCGTGCATTGTGCGGCCGTGGGGCGCGCAGCCGACGATGGCGCGGGTTGCCCGGCCGGAGATGGCACGGGCATGTGGCCGGCGAGGGCGCGGGACGCGTGGCCGGCGGGAACGGCGGCTCGGCGACGGTGGAGGCGCGGCCTCACCGGCGGGCGGGGCAGCCACGCGGCCACGGCCAGGCGAGCGGTGCGAGGTGGGGCTCCGGCGGGCGGCGCTCTTGCGGGGCTCCGGAGGGCTGGGCGGGGCCACGGCGGCGCGACTAGAGCAAGAAGAACGGCGGCGTTTTGCACGGAGAGGAAGAAAGCTACGATGTGGTCAGCTTGGCCGTGGCCGATGAAGCGAGAGAAAGTTCCTAGGAACAATCCATCTCCCTCTCGACTTGGCGAGCAAAGCTGAAATAAACACTTGCCATGGAGGTTACCGACGCGGTCCGCGAGCCTGCCTGACGGCGACGGTGTGGTCAGCTTGGCAGTGGCCGTGCGGCCCGAGCGCCGCCGATGCGGCCGCAAGCGGGGCCACACATCGACGGTTGGCCCGCCGTAGTGGGTGCGTATGAATCAGCTCGTGTCATCTGATTCCATTGCTGATTAAGTAGGAGTACCTGCTATGCACCTCAAACAACGACCAATCGATGAACACGGATTCGCAGTTGGCAGTCTCCTCGGCCGTTCTGCGCACCGCGGGCTTGTCATTTCTGGTTACAATTTCCTTGCGATTCCTTCCAAGTCCAAAGCTGCAACAAACTCAGGGCGCGTTTAGATCCAAAAATTTTTTGGGTCCTAGGTGCTGTAGTACTTTTGTTTGTATTTGGTAATTAGTGTCTAATTATGGACTAATTATGTTCGAAAGTTTCGTCTCACGATTTTTTACCCAACTGTGTAATTAGTTTTTTTTTTATATTTAGTACTCCATGCATATGCCGCAAGATTCGATGTGACACTTACTGCGTAAAATTTTTTGGTTTTTGGGAAGAACTAAACGGGGCCTCATTTCAACTATTCAAGGCAAGCTGCTTGTACGGCTCTAAGGCAGGTCGTCCGTGGCTTCGTGCTGGCAAGAGCGGTCACAAGGAAAGACAAGAGATTCAGACAGTTGCAGCATAACCAGACGCGTATTATTTTCTGACAGCGATGGACTAAATCCAAGTGGGACAGTACTAGAAGTTGCCAATTTTTACAAAAACTATTTTGTTTGATGAGGGTCATGAGACGGATTGACAGAGAGAAGGAAGCTCGCAAGCTTCTCGGCAAATGCAAACGCTACGATACCCTGCAAGCGGCACCAAGAGCAGCTACGCAGTGCAGCGCTACCCTACCACACAGTTGGCCAGCTCCATTTTTTTTTGGAACAAACAGGAGGGGTTTTAGACCCCTACTGGAATTGATTAAGCAAAAAAAGGTTCAGTACAGACAGGAAGCAAAGAACAAAAGAGACAGGGCAGGGCAGCAGAGGGAAAATCAGGGAACAAGAAAAGAAAGAAAGAAAGCTAACAACTGAACAACTAAAGTCCCAAAAATCATGAAGCACCGATATCCATTCTTGTAATCTTGGGGAGTAGGATTTCTTGGCGCGTAGAAGCATCGCACCCATTTCAATCAGAAACAAGTTCTTGCAGCCAGCAATGGAAGCATTGATTTGCTTGCAAATCTTGTTGTTCCTGGTCATCCAAATTGCCCAGCTTATCAGGATGAGAATCTCCATAAAAAAAAAGGCGACTGATTTGGGTGCTTAAGACCTCCAAATTGGAAAAGGCGTCTCTTGCTTGAATCCACATTCAGGTGAATAGACCTCCAGCATGCCTGTGTAAGAGAGCATCCAGGGAATAGATTTTCTACTGTTTCTTAAACTTGCTCATTGCATAAGACACAATTGTAGCTTTCCATCTCCATTCCCCTTCTTCTGAGCAGACCTCTCGTGCTTAGTCTATCTTTCAGCAACAACCAAAAGAAGACACGGTGCTTGTTCTGACACGGTGCTTGGCCAGCTCCATTCGCCCTATGTAAAATTGGCTAGCTCCTTCTGGAGTTGTTGGTTTGCTTGCTATTCAATTCAGTGGATGGAACTAGGTCTAGCTAAAAGCAACACACACACACACACACACACACACCCATCTTATCTTAACACCAGTAACTGAAGATTGTGGGATTAATCCTTTTAAAAAAAACGCTAGAAACTTAAACAAAAAAAAAATTCAACCATGGATTTTGCAGCGTCAGTCATTGTTTTGAAATTACCTACCTATACTCCTATCTCTTACACCCTCTCATCCTCTGTTCAACCAAGATTATATACTCGCTTCGTTCCAAATTATAAGTCGTTTTGACTTTGCTAGGTACATAGATCATACTATACATCAGATATATGTTGTGTCTACATACATGACAAGAGCAATATATATACACCTAGAAAAACTAATACGCCTTATAATTTGGAACAGAAGGAGTAGAAGAGTATCGATATTTATAACATCAAGTAGACATCCCATCAAAGTATATTTCATGATGGTTTGATTTAGGACAAATTACTTATTTAGGAACAAAAGGGATAATAAATTACTACTGCATGAGTTGTTGAGCTAGTAAATAAACACATACAAATAAAAATGTTGATTGCCTCCCAAACAGAGTTGGGAATTTCAGGTGATTTTGGCGATTTTTTTATTCTACCGGTGACCTCTAGTAAATATATATAATGATAGCTTCGTTTTTTTTTAACTTGGACGAGATCCACTCAAATTTCCTAAATTTTAGTCAAAATTTCACAAAGTTTTTAATTTTTTTTACCAAAACTTTGGTGATTTTTGGTCATATACCAGTCCCCTTGCAACAGGTAGGCCCAACACTGCTGCCAAATCATCATAGCCTATCCTCGATGACAAAGAACAAAATAAACCTCGGACCTAAAATAGATTAAGACCCGAAGCATCCACTATTGTTTCTTCATTTGGCAGACGCCGGGTCCGATTTGAATGAATTAGATTAAAACTCGAAGGAAGCACTCGTGCGCAGATCGAGTACGCAATGTGGAGAATGTGATCACGTCGCTCGCGCGGCGAAGGAACACGATCGAACAGGATACAGAGCTCAAGGCCACTAATAAATTAAACGAAGAGGCTGGTCTGCCTCCAGTGCTGTCATCAGCAAGCTAGTAATCCTTGGAATGGAATGGAATTGAAGTGCAGGGCGGAGCCGATGGATGGTATTGATATTGCCCTTCCACGTTTTGATAAGTGTAGGGCAATTTCTAAGTTTTGTAGGAACAACTCCACCTAACCCGCGTCTTGTTGGCAAGTGGCAACGAGGAACACCCTCCTATTCTGCAGCCTGCATTCGGCAAAGGTCTGGAAAGGGCCAGCCAGGAGATCGTGTGTGTGGTCCAGGCAAACAATAATAAAAAAAAAAAATAGAAATGTTATACAACACACGTGTATTTTATAAAAAAATACACACGAATTTTAGTCAATCGAATTGTAGCCTCTGTTTATCTCTATCGTCAGATCTGCGAACAGACCCAAAGAAAAAAACACATGACGCAGAAGAAGACTGCGTGTGACGCGACGCAGCAGCGGTGCACCAAAGACACGAAGCGGCCGCACCAAAGACGTGACGAAATGAAGACATGACGCAAAGAATGCACCAGCACACGACGTGAGGTATAGATTCACCAAAAAAACACATGACATGACGCGTGACGCAGCAGTGCACCCCCTGTATTTTATCCTTCCATAGAAAAAATGTTTTATGTGATATGTGATATGTGGATCTGTGATCTTGTGATTGTCTTAAGTTAGAAGAAGGATGGAGGCTGTTGGATCTTAATCTTATGGTGTAAAAAAATTCATGTGTTGGAATTGTATAAAACATATGGTCGTGCATTAAACGGACTAGAAAAAAGGATAGGTCATTTGTCGGAACTCCGGAGTAGTTTTTTTAAGATAAAAGTCAGGAGCTCTGCCGTTTAATTTAGTAGAAAAAGTGGTTTATGTCGAACACATGGTCCTAGGTTCAGGGTAGAATTTTTTTTCAAACTCAACTAATTTGTTTGTTCACCCATTGCCATTGCCATTGCCATCGTCCTATGTCTCTGAGACTCGGGAGTAGTTAATGGGCTAGTAATCGCTTTAACCTTTATAAGCACTCAAGCCGACCGCTGATGGATTTTGGCAGGTACTTTTTAGGGAAAAATCCTTAAAAAGAAACCTGCAAGTCGTTTTTAAAATTTCCCATCATCTTAGTTTGTCATAATCTAACACCTCGTAGCGGTCTCCCAAGCAATCAAAGTCAAAGCCTGCAACTGACGAGAGCAACTCGGATTGCCGCTGACGGCTTGGCTTGGCCCATCCCCGAGTGGAACCGGGCGGCGATCGGTCTCGTCGGCACAAGTCGTCGCGGTCCGGGTCGCCGAGACGCCGACCAAGCTTTGCTAGCTAGCAGCCAAACGATACGTACCCCTCCCTGTCACCGGAGCGGTCCTCTTCTCTTCTCTCAGCGCATTCTAGAAACCTTAACAGTCAAGAGACGGAAACAAAAGGCCCATTTGGTCCGAAAAGTTTTAACGTAGGACAATTCTGTACCCACCAACACTCAAGACATGGTGGATGAAGAAGACCTCAGGAAATACTCTGAGCTTTCTACGAACTCCTCTCTATGACTCTATCCCTTTCTGTGACGACAACTGAGGCTTAAATAAACACTTGTCAATGAGCTGAGCTTATATATACACATAGCACTAATAATACTAGTAGCAGAAGCCTGTGCACGAACGACCAAGAAAGACAACCGCTCGTCGTCGCACGAGCACCGGCCACCGGCAGCAACCAGGCAACCAGCATGACCCCCGACGCGGCCTTTGCGCTGGAGATGGCCGCCGTGGTCTGCCTGGTGGTGCTCATCGTCGCCATCGTCGCCGCCGCCGCGGGCGCCTGCGAGCCTTTCGCCGCCGCCGCCGCGGGGCGCGCCGCGGTGCACGACGTCGAGCAGGCGCTCGGGCCCGCCACGCTCATGACGTACGACCAGGCGAGGAAGGCGGCCGGCAAGAAAGGGAGCGCGTCGGTGCCGTCGCCGGCAGAGGGGAATAAGGTGGACGACGTCGGCGACGAGGAGGCGCCGTGGTGCGCCATCTGCCTGTCGGAGTACGCCAAGGGCGACGAGCTGGTGCGGGTGCTGCCGGCGTGCGGCCACTTCTTCCACGCCGACTGCCGCATCGACTGGTGGCTCCGGCAGCGCGGGACGTGCCCGACCTGCCGCGGCGCGCTGTGGTCGCTGCCCATGCCGCCGATGCCGCCGCGAGTGACCGGCGCCGCCATGGTCCGCGGTAGGGGTTGAATCAGCTCAGCTCGCATTCTTGATTCTTGGTTAGTTGTTAGGAGTTTGCAGAGGAGACAGACAGAGGTGAAAATGGTGCAGGCGATAATTTTGTTACGGAGACCTTTACTTTAAAACAAAGCAGAAAGCACTGTAAGCATTTTTCTCAAAAAAAAAAATGTAAGCCTTTCTGCTACCAGAAGTTTTTACATTTTGGTGCTGTCCACCGTTGTTTTGGGTTATGGGAGAAGACACAAAGGGTGCGTTTGATTCATGTCAACCAACTTTTGTCCCTGCTCAGGTTATTTGACTAGCGTTTGATCTAGGACCAAAGTACGTTTAGCTAAACCAGGGGGAATTTTGGCTGCGCCATCTGCAGTAGTAAGCAGCAAAGTGAGGCTGATTCCAGGACCGTCGATTCGTGCACGGTGCACCCTGGCCTATTTTGGTTTCGGCGCATGGACATGCACAAGCTGAAGTCAACCATCCAGTGGTTGTGCGTTCTTCGATTGTTTTGAATTACAAAGCTTGAAACGTTAGTACGGCGTATATACTAAATGGTATATCTAATCTTAAATTTGTTTTGGCTATTGTATTTTTTATATTATTTTATCTCCAAAACAAGATCCTACATGCATTTGCTACAATTCAACGAAGAAAAAACATAAGATCTAGACCCTACACGTCATACACAAAGTTATAGTACACCTTGGCATGCATTATAATTTTAGTTTAGTCACCATCAAAATATCTCCAATATAACTAAATTTCGGTCATGCCCTAATTTGGCTATAGCCAAATATGGCTTGACCAGCTAGAACATGCATCCAAAATGGCCAATGTCAGTATACTGAATTACTATTAAACCGTTGAGGAAAAATGTGTAACTTTTTTTAGAAAAAAAAGTGCAGTTGTAAAAGTAAAATTGACATCATGACCACTCCTTCGAAATTTCAGTGTACGTTATACGCAGGGAGAAAGTTTTACTACTCCGTACTAGGTTCACTGTCTCACTGAAGTTCACCAGGTCGTGGGTTCGAAGCAGCCTCTCCGAAAATTTTGCGGGGAAAATGATTGTCTCGGTTTATCCCTTCCCCACACCCCACTCATGTGGGAGCCTCCGGCACTGAGTCTGCTCTTTTTTTTTTACTAGGTTGACTGTGATGACAGATTGGACCGAGCTTTTCCTCTGTAAACAACGACTAATCTGCTTAACATTGGCTCCGTCGTCTGCGTGTGGACTGGACCATTTCTTGTTAGCATCTTTTACGACTCCTTGGAAGCTGCTAGAAGCCGATACACAGATGCGAGGCTTGAGATTTTCAAATTAACCAAGTTGTCCCTCTACACACAATGATTAATGACTAGTTTGTTTTGAACCATTGCTGAAAAATTAGACTAAAAAGTACTGTTTGCTGATTTGTTGTGAGAGAAAAACACTATTCTTTCACTGAAAAAGTATGGCTGATAAAACAAGCGAACATGGCCATAAGTCTCTGTAGTCGGCGTGTGGACTTGACCACTTCTAGTTATGATTTTCTTATGACTCCTTCAAAGCCACACCGCATTCGATGTGTGCCCAGTATGACAGGCTTCGACGCTTCGTGCTAGCAGGAACTATGAGGAGGAAACCAGAGATGATAGATTCATGCAGTTGGCAGTTGACAGGATGATCAGGTAGTACTGTACTGCTTTGAGTTTTTACAGCAACAGAAGTTACCAATTCGGATCAAAACATCGGGTTTGGTGAGGCCAACTGACAGAGAACGAAGCTCTGAAGTTCCTCTCTTACACGAATTAAAGCAAGCCAGAGGATGATGCCTTTAGGTACCTTTGCAGGCCACCCTGGCTGAATTCCGACTCCAGTTTTCTGGAGCTGAGCAGTGCATGTCAGATCACCAGACGTTGAATGATATACATATCTCACGCATTCTGAATTACTGGAAAAAAAAACTGATTCAACATAGGCTTCCACAAACATACTCTGTTCAGGGGAAATATCACACCACCAAACAAAACATCCATCCATTCCAGTATACTGAAAAGAACACGACAACTATTGCAGATGCCATCCTTCTCCAGATGTCAGCCAGAGACTCAGAATACACTCAACTCTTTCACTAGAGCAATGCATCGTATATTCAGGGGGCAAAGGACTAGCAGTAGAACATGGACCCCTTCAGCTCGTTCTTTATCTCTGGAAGTTGCTTCGGGCCAGCGCCAGGAGCAGCTGCACTGCTGGAGCTTGACGCTGACGCCGTGTCAGAGCCTTTGGCGAGGTAGGCGAGGGCACGATGTGCGAGCTTTTGGGCGTAGAATGCGGGAGGAGCTGCCATTACAAACAATCAGCATAGCATCACGTTAACATTTTCTTCCATGCACTATGCAAAATTGTGGTAGTAAGGTTTTATTTTTGTTGTTAACAGTCGTGCTTCTGCATCTGTACATGGATGTAGATTAGAGATTCAGCCCGAACCGTCCAGTTCAACTGCAGTCTGGATGTTGATTTCACTAGATACCGTGCTTGAGCAGGAAAAAAATAGGGCAAGTTCGTTTAAACTAAATTATCTGTGAATACAGAGAAGAATGACATACCGATCGACACCGTCCGAGTGCCGCTTGTATAACTGATGAGAAACAAAATAGGACAAACTGTCAGACACCTGAACAGCTCAAACTGCAGAGAGAGAGCAAGTAACAGCATGCTTACGTGTAGCACAGGTTATTTGTGAGAGCCTGCAGTTCATCAGCCGTGAAGTTGTTATCATCTCGCAGCACAAGGTACTTCACAGGACGCCTTGGTCCCTGCATTTTCCACAGTCATCCAATCTTTATTCCTTGGATACAAATTGACAAGAAGGCAGTCAAGTTATTGTGATATTGTGGACATCTTACTTTGACATCAGCTTGGTTGCAAAGGAAGAAATCAAATTCTGCTGGGTGACAGATCTCACTATCAACCACTGTGCCTACAAATTTTTCAGGAACATGTGGTTAAGATGGCTTATGAAACAGGATACCATAAATTGACTGTTGTGAATAATCTCGTGGTTCTAAGTTCTAACCAGGCTCAACAATTTTCTTCGCAACAGAACGGAGCTTATATTTGTTGTCCATGGGGGACAGCCTTAGTCTATGCCTCTTCTGCACAATAATGAAGGTGATTTGTGGCTTCTCATTATCATACAGTGTGTTCCAAGCCTGGAGAAGAAAAAAATAGTTGTTACCAAATGTTCTAATCAAATATGATATTGGCAAGCACTATTTTCTCTCAAATTACTTAACCTTTTCTATCGCTGGGATTTCTTTCTCCAAAACTTGTTTGAACCGACCCTCACTTATGCCATCCCTAGTAACCAAATACATAGCAGAAGGACATAGAGAGAAAAGCAGTCAACTGTTAATTTTCATGGGATGATGATCAAAATAGCGCATCACAGAACAAATGAGATGTTTGAACCTGTAGAATATCAGCTGCTGGAGCTTCTTGTTGGACTCGTTTGCAAATGCATGAAGGAGCTCCCTTCAAAAGTTTCATAAATTAAAATGCAACCTAATATGGTGGCATGCATGTTCAAATAGTTACATAGATTGAAGGTCTTACTTGACAATGTCTTCAAGGCCACTGATCTCTTCAGTGTGACCTTGTGCACGAACAACACTATTATACTTAGACACCTCATGCCAGTCTTGGGATGCAACGACCTAAACAGAACCTCAGGCAGCATCTGTTAGTTTAATGATATGAAAATGGAAAAGGCACTGTGTCCATTTACCAAACAAAAGGAAACCTTACAGAAGCAATCGAAGGGGCAGCAGAACCATCTTTTTTTTTAGAAGGGTGAGAAACATGAGCACCAAATATAATCGTCGGCTTGTTTGAAACAACCGGTAAACTCTTCTGCACGTCATCGAATATTGAGTTCCTTCCTCCAGCCTATCAAGATGGTGAATATATCATATCATGTTGAACTGCCAGTTTTTATAAAACAATATACATGAAGAAGCGAATCTGAGGTTTACCTTGGCATTGATCTTAATAGCAATATTTGCCAATATCTGACTATTTTCCGTGAAGACATTTGACCTTCGACAACACTGTGACACGAGACCAATATCTGTCTCACAGATCCTTTTAATATTTCCTGTGGTTTGAAGTAATATCAGGCATCACACATATGTAATAGAAGTGAAGAAATTATGTCTCCAATCATAGACATTACCATATAAACTGCCATTTTTATCTGGTAGTATAGCAAGCAGTAAATCAATCTTCTGATGCCTCAGCTTGTTCTTCGCTTCCTGATAGCATTTACGAATACCATCTTCAACTTGATCTGGACGTGCAGTGAATATTGGGAACTTCAAATTGGCAAATTCCTGAAATTAAAGTGAAAAAGGGTAGGCAATACAGTTTGGACCTAACAACAACAACAACAACAAAGCCTTAATATCTTTCTCGGACCTAGAGACAGTAAAAAAGGATGATGAAAAAGCATATTACCACTCCAGTAGTACGAGACATTTCAGCCAGCTTAAAGCAAAACTCCTTAATATCTTTCTCGGATAAATCTTCACAGAAGTTAAGACATGCCCAGTTGCTGATATTTGCACCATTTATTACTTTCTGCAAACAAAATATTCAAGCAATGGTTATAGATTAAGAACAAATATATGTACAACCAAAATTCATGGAAAATTAAAGAAACTTTTTTCTTGATTCATTACTTCACTGAAGAACGCAATAGCAAGTAAATGATAGAATGGCACTACTGGAAAGGTTCTCAAAATGGATCTTCATTGAAGCTGTAACATTAAGATTGGTTTAGCAGTTCATGACATACCTTGTCTTTCATATTCCAGTACCCATTCATTGGAAACCCCGTCTTCTGAGATCCAGAATCATGATACTTAAGCTACAACATCAACAAAAGGAGAGCATATAAGACAATCAGAAACTTCTTTAGACCCAAAAGTACTACATCAGAACTCATGGAAGAGGAGTACATTTGGAGGCAGCAGAACTCTAGCATCAACTGTTGCAAGATTGTCATCAACTTCTATGTCAAAATCATTTGCACGTTTGGTGCGTCTGTACTGCTCCTTATCAACAATCTAAGACAAGTGGAAGTTAGGTTAGCAAAAACTTAAAGATATTTTTTATCAGTTTACAGCTGTCACAGTGAGATCATGAACCTGATGACAGGATTGCTCCGGTTCAGGATGGACGCAGGCTGACTTCCTTAGAGTAGAAACCTGACTAGCTTCCAGCTTCTTCTGGTAACACTGCCTGGGAACTATCTTGCAAACCTGAAATTCAAATTTACATTCGGAAACAGCAGCAGAGTAAGGAAGGGTAAGGAGTATAGAAGCATAAGACATCATGTTGAAGTTGAGAAGTCCATAACTACTATGTTTCAAAAAAAAAGAAGTCCATAATTACCAACCTCTATAGGAAGATAGACTGGATTCTGCTCGCTGCGAGCGATGATGCATGGGAGAGATTTGTATTTCAGGTCCAGGCTGTATATTTCTCTGAAGTAATTAATGACTGTCGTTGTGGCTCCACTAGATTGAAAACTGATATTTTAAAGGCACCATGAAACGTTTGATTAGTAAAAAAGAAGTGCTGTTGACAGAATTTAATGGCACCATGTATTTCTGAACTAGAGAGGCTAAGTTGAACATAAATGCAAACGAGAGGAATCCTACCTCAAATCATTAGTAGGATTCACTGACAAACCAGCAATTCTGTACTGACGGCGTCTATTATCTCCTAGGTGTGTGACTTCAATCCTCACACCCCTGAGGACCTTCAAGAGCTGAAATTCAGAAAACAACAACATACATCTGAAGTTCTGATGTGCATAGTGCATTTTGTATCAAGGCCGGAGAAAGCATGGATACCTTGTCATACTCAGGTTTAGTCAAGTTTCTATCCACGACATCCATCTTTAGGATCTTCTGAACGAATTCAATCAATAGCAAGGGTTGAACGAAAACAGATGAGGACACATCTGCAATGGAAAAATTACTGCACGTTACAAATTCGGCAAAGACACGAGATCTGAACTGCAATATTACCAAGTGCAATCGCAAGTTTTTCTTTCAAGCAATCACCTGAAACTAAGGTGTCCACTTGGTTTGAACTGAATATGATTTACACCAACCACATGAAAATGAAATGAACCTATACAAGTACAGATTTGTATCCAAATTTCCCCTATTGGCCAGTTCTGCCATCTAAACATCCTATCTGTGTTTCTGACCATACTGTACATAACTAAAAAGGAAAACCCACATTTAGAAGTGAAGTGATATCTGACCTGAAATCAGAGACAAGCAGTTCTGTGTTGACCTGATGCTCTGATAGAGCCCCTTCCATGCGTCAACACCCAGTGTACGATCCTTTGTGGCAATCGCGGCGCATCTGTTCACAGTCCAGAGACGAATAACATTATCATCCCAAATCATGAACACAGTGAGATAATCAGAGACAGCGAATGTTCCGTTTCTTACTTCATGTCATTGCGCTCGTTGGAGACGACGTCACGCAGCACGGTGTCGAGGACCAGCAGCACCTGCGCGGGGATGTCCGTGGGGTAGCCCGCCAACAGCATCCTCAGCTGTAGCAGGCTAATCGTTACGGCATGGTTGATCACCACCTTGTACCTCCTGTCCATCCTGCACAATTCGTCGAGCATTTGCATCGCATCTCCGCAGCGACCGACATGAGATGGGAGAAGCAGAGTTTACGTACTTTTTGTCGCCGCCTGCAGAGAGGGTGACCTCGAACTCCTTGGTGTCGAACGGCAGCGCGCCCGCGGTGAAGAGCGAGTCGCGGTCGTCGTACGCGGGGAAGCGGCCGCCGAGCTCCGTGTGCTGGTTCTCGGACACCAGCTTCGTCATGACCTCCCTGTACGCGGCCTTGGGCGTCGGCTCCGGCGAAATGGTCACCTACAAGTACAACGAAACAAACAACCATAAACACGGGAACCCACGGCAATGGCGCTCGGTCAGATTAGATCAAAACCAACAACGAAGAGTACTGGACGAGAGAGCACGAGCACTTACGTCGTACTGGTGCAGGCCCTCGTCGACGAGGCGGCCGAGGAAGCGGTTGGCCCTGACGACGCACGGCATCCCCTCGGTGCCGTACCCTGGTCGCGGAGGGAACACGGGCTCGGCGCGGCGGACGTGGATGCCGAGCGCCTCGAACTCCTTCCACAGCGGCGCGGCGGCCTCCTTCCCGAGGGTTGGCCCAGCTTGGCGGATATCGGCGGGAGGGCTCTGGCCGACGCGCGAGGGGTCGTCGTCGCGGTGCTCGTTGCGGTTCCCCGCCTCAGCGCCGCTCGGGTTTGCCTCGTCTCGCCCGTTGCTGCCGGAGTCCCGCGCCTGATCGACCGGCGGGTTGGACTGGCGGCCGCCGCGGCGCCCTCTGCCACGGCGATGCCTCGCCATGGGCGCAACTCCCCTCGCGCTCACGCAGGAGTTTGTTACGTACTTGGAAGAGAAGAAAAGGGAATGGGGAGGAAGAGATCAGTTCAAGTGGGGAACACGGCGTGCACCAGCGGCTTATATAAAGCTAGCGTAGGAAAACCCACGGTCATTTTCCAAGAAATGTGATGTGCAGCGAATTCTCTTTTTCACTATATTTTTTGAAGCTGTCTACTCAACACGTGACGCGGATGTTTTACAGCAGCTCAACACATTTTTTTTTCCACCGTCTGATCAAGATCGGACAGCTCTCCTCAACCTTGACCCGTTTCTGCTTCACATAGCTTCCATGATGGCTGACGAGGCCCCGCCTACCTGGGACAGCGGGTCCACTTGTTCCAAGAGTATCCAGTTGAATATTTATCTTTATAGATAGCTAAAATGTCAGCGAATTTTTAATTCAGTCCAATCATTCATTCTCTTACACCTCTCAGACTTTCTAGCGCCCGGACGTCCGTTCGGACGCATCCGAACGGTGGCAGCACAGGAAGCGAGCGGCGACTAGCGCGTCGGGCTCACGAGCGAGCGTACTAGTTGTGGACCCACGTCGCCCTAGACGTTGCCCATGCTGCTCCGGACATCGCACACGCTGCCTTGAACGACGCCCGCGCTATCAGCCGCTTCCCACACGCGTCCCATGTGCAACACAAATCTACTTTTGAAACATCCAAATGCAAATACAACAGTAGCAACATACAAAAGAAGACATATGAAACACTTGAAACAAGCATATGAAAACACTTGCAAAAACGATGAAAAAAAATTGAAAGCCATTGCAACATATGCAACATCCAGATGAAAACATTTGCAAACATACGTATGAAACACCTAGAAACACTTTGAAACATATGTTTGCAACATGCACGTATATGCAACATGTAGATCTACTTTTGCAACATCCAGATAAAACACTTGCAACATACGTCTGGAACAGATGAAACATTTAGAAAATACACTTGAAACATATGTATATAGCTGTTACAACATGTGCAACATCCCGATCTACTTTTGCAACATCGATATACAACACTTGCAACATTCCTCTGAAATATTTGATTACATTGAAACATAATTTTTGCAACATGCGGTTTTCACCATTCTTCTTTCGTATGATGCAACACAGAGAGCGAGGGGAACGGCCGATTCCGACAAGCCGGCGACTGAGGATGGTGGCGCGGCTTGATAGCGGCCAGATGCGCCTGCGCCTAGCCTAGGCCCGGCCAGCGATGACCCCCTCTCCTAGCCGCCTGGCTTGGGCACAGTAGAGGAAGGAGCACGGTATGGCGCGGCAGGGGATGGAGGCGGGGATGGGGGGCGGCATGGGGGATGGCGTCGGTGACGTGTCGGAGTGGGCTGCGGCGCGGCAGAGTGGGGTGGGCGGCCACGCTGTGCGGCGCAGAGTGGGGAGAGGAGCGCGGAGCAGTGTGGGATGGAAGCGGATGCGGCGCCGCCACTCTAGAGAAGGCCACGGTGAGGAGCCTCGTGCTGGAGAATGGAGCGGCGTTGTCTTTTGTTTTAGAGACAGATTGACAAGTGGCGCTGGATAAGGCGGAGTGAGGGAGGCAGAGTGTGGTCTGGTGCGTTCGTCTGTCAGGATGCCCTATAGGGAGCATTATCATATACCTATCCCTTCTAACCTGCAGGTCCAACAAACACCATTAGGTGTCACGTAGTCACACACGAACCGACTAGTTCTGTCGAGATTATTAACTTTCTAACATTGTTACGATTGGCACCTTCTCAAATACTCCATCCATTTAAATTACAAGTCATTCTAACTTTCTTGAGGTTCGAAGTATCTCAAGTTTGATCAAAAGTATAGAAGAAATTACAAAGATTTACAACATTAAATAGTTACTATAAAAATATAATTAATGAATAATCTAATATTACTTAGTTAGTATCATAAATGTTCTTATTTTATTACATAATTTAGTTAAACTTGATATGTTTTTACTTTAAAAAAGTTAAAATAACTTATAATTTAGGATAGAGGGAGTAATCACTACCCTTTCGTTAGAGAGAGAAATATAGACTAGAAAAATATTACTTTGTTCGCGTGGCACCTACCGTTTGTGCCACCCCTCCCTGCTCTCGTCCAACGGGCGACGCCCCGTGTGTCTGCTACCGCACCGTGATGCTCTTAGCCCACTTTGATGGTCAGTCACTACACTGTTCGCTACCACACCTCAATATGTCCTCTACTCCTCTCCTTCTATGCTGCCTCGGTTCAGATTTGGATTCTTTGACTTGACATTGGACTCTGGTTCGAATTCGAATTGTAGGGATGAACAAGCACGCCAACGGCGTCCTATGAGCGCGGCGGCGGTCGTAGGACAAAGCGTTTGCGGTAACACCTTTAGCTTGTCTTCGATTCGATGACTAGTCAGGGACTGTTTGGATCACCGACTAAAGTTTAGTCCATTGTTAGATAATAGGCTAAACGTAGACTAATTAAAAAATGCAATGTGTTCTACTCATCTATTAGCCTTTATTAGCAAATATGCTCGGGTGTTACGACGGGTGAAAAAACGTCAAATGACCATAAAAAGCGATGATAGAATGTTACATATCTATTTATGTGTTACCTTTTTATAAAATTTAAAAGCTTCACTTTATTTTATTGATAACCATGACATCCATGGTATTAGTTAAAATTTGTAATAGTATATAGCTTGGAGACATATATATTTATTTTTATTTGATTGGATAACAAACTGTTTAAGATTTTAGTTCATGTTTTGATTAGTTAGACCATTCAGCTAATCTAGGTTCTAATAAGAATAAATTTCATGTATAATCAAAACTACATACTTAGTGGTAAAAATATTTGTCTCTTAGTGATTAGTGAAAGATCAAGGGTTGAAAGACCAATAATATTTCATTTATTATATTTGTACAATTGTTTTTAAAGTTGTTAAGAAAAAGGGAAAAAAAGTCAAGCGGAATGGCAAAAACATTTATTATTTATATATTTTTTATGTTTATGTATGAAAAAAGAAAAAAAATACGTGCACATGAAAAAAAGGAAATAAAAAGTGACCGAAATAAAAAATCTCCTTATAGTACAAGATTAGGGTAAAATAAAATAAGATTTTATATTTCATATCTATACTCATATGTACTCCCTCCATCCCAAATTATAAGTCATTCCAAGAATCTTGGAGAGTCAAAGTTTTTCAAGTTTGACCAAATTTATATAACAAAATAATAATATTTATCATACCAAGTAAGTATCATTAGATTCTTCATTAGTTATATTTTCATATTATACCTATTTGATGTCATCAATCTTTGTGTTTCTCTCTATAATTTTAGTCAAACTTGAAAAAGTTTGACTCTCCAAGATTTTTGGAATGACTTATAATTTAGGATGGAGGGAGTATCGTATATCACTACAACACCTAACCTTCGTCTAGCATCCGAATCCGATAGCTTGCAACGAAATCAATTGCACATCCTCGGCATGCCCGTGTTTAAGAGAAACGGACTATGTTGAAAGAGATCAAGAGGGAACGAAAACAGCATGTAACTCTTCCATGCTCTCATGAAAAATAAATAAAATCTGGACGGAGGACAAAAGCAAAATAAAATAGAACCGAAACCAACAAACTTCCCATGGTACAAGAGGTAAGATTAGAGTAAGATAAGGTTTCGTCATTTTTATTTTTATTATTTTTTGTTTCTATTAGGATTTCTTTTCAGCTTATTAGTCAGGAATTGGAAGAATATAGGATTCCTAATCCGTGTCTAAGCCATGCATATATGTCATATAAAAAATCATGAGGCCGTAGACAGACCAACATAGAATTCCATATCCACAAGTTAGTTAGAGGAAGGCTAGACCGGAAAAAAAAAGAGAGAAATTTTGTCTCTTTAATATTAGATATAGATTAGTTTTTGTTAGATAATGATTAATTCATATTTGATCTTTTATTTGGTATCCAAAATATGGACTAAAGTTTAGTATAGACCATCGAAACACTTGGTCATATATATTAGATATGATATAGCATCCGTAAGGTAAACTCGTCGTCCGCCCCAGGGATGATCGACGGTCGAGAATCGAGATCTGGTCCGAGCTCACTTCGTCTTCCTCTCCAGCTGCGTGCACTAGTCCGAGCTTGTCTTCTCTTTGACTGCGGTGAGGATGGCCGAAGCTTTTTCTTGACCGGGAGATCTTCCAAACGTCCTGCTTTATCGTTCTGTTCGCTTGGCTTATAAGGTGTACTTTTTCAACGAACGAATAATATTTTTCTCTCACAACAAATCAGCCAACAGTACTTTTAGCCATGACTTATTAGCCAAACTAATAGAGCTTATCTATCCACGATTCGTTTTAAAGCTGGCTTAGCTTCCAGTCGAAGCGTGGTCAGATAATCTGTTCCAAACATTGTCGTTATGCCGCGCGGCATGGGGCGCCCAGTACTTGGCGTCAACCCACCAGCGGTGCCGCGGCCTTAGAGGCGACCAAGTACACAAGCATCATCGGTAGCCTCCATTCCTCCACTACCTCGACGTCAATACATATGATCATGATCGCTTGTTTTATGAGTCGTACTATTTCAGTAAATGAATAATATTTTTCTTTCATAATAAATCAGCGAACAATATTTTTAGCCATGACTTTTTAGCAAAACGAACATGACCGTAGCTTGATATCACCCATACTGTGGCCTGTGGGGAAGGCAAGCCGTTTCACCTTTCGTGGAGGCACCCATCGGAGATGCACTGTGCGGCGGTTAAACGGATTCTCCTCCGTTACCTGGCGCGGATGATTAACTATGGATGCGGGTACAAAAAGTGCGAAGGATTGGATCACTGCAGAGACAGTGATCATGCCGTTGATGTGGATGTGTGCAAGAGCACGACCAGAGTTTTTTTTTTTTTTTTCTCGGCTCAAATCCGTCTCGCATGCATACTGTTGCACTTGCACCGGAGTACAGCTGCTATAGCAGAAGCAGCGTGTGTGGCTGAGCAAATTGATCACAGAACTTACCGGCTACAAGTGTATACAGCCATTTGAAACAGATACAAGTAGTCGGTGCATCCAAAGAATCCAAGAATTTTGTAGGAATCCCACGTGAATCAATTAATTTTCACTTGAAAAAAAAGTAGAAAACAGATAAACCAGCCAGCCCAATAAACCTCACGTCCGTCTCCTTCCGTTGCTCGCCTCGTGCTGCTCCTGCTTCTCCGCCTCCGCCCGCGCCCCCTTCCGTTGCTCCTGCTGCTCATCTCGCGCTGCTCCTGCTCCTATGCCACCCGCCCCGTTGCTCATGCCACTCCGCATGACCGCCCTGCTGCTCTTGCCGTTGCGGCTGTTCCTGCCCCACGCACCTGTCTCGCTGCTCCGCCGCCCGCGACCGCTGCGTCTGCTCTGCCACCCATCCGGCCTGGCAACACCGACAGGCGCCGCCAGCCAAAAGAAGCGTCAGGCCTTGGCGCATAAGCCCTCCGGCCTCGCCTGCTGCAAGCGTTTCATATGGATGTTGCAAAAGTAGATCGAGAGGTTGCATATGTTGTAATGGTTGTACATGTATGTTGCAAGAGTCTGTGCAATATTTCATCTATTTTTTAGACGTATGTTGCAAGCGTGTTTATTTGGATGCTGCATATGTTTTCACACATATGTTGCAAGTGTTTTACTCGATGTTGTATATGTTTTGCAATGGTTTTCAAGTGTTTTTCAAGTATTTTTTTAAGTGATTCAGACGCATGTTTCAAGTATTTCATCTATTTTTTTTTATGTTGTATCCAAATGTTTCAAGTATAAATTAGGCGCGGCCCCGCATGGCCACGAGACGCATGCACGGGCGAGCAACGTCCGGCTGGCGCGGGGCTATGCGTAGACACGGGAAAACAGATTGCAACCATGGCGTCCGTCCAGACGTCCGGTGCTAGCCGTGACGTTATAAGAAAAGACTTCGATCTGTCTAGCCAACACCTCGCACCCGCATCAGGTTCTAACATCTCTCTCATGAATTCCCCAGTGCATGCTATTTGACATGTCCCAAAAAATCCACATAATCATGTCACTGCCACACTAGCACCTCTCTCACTTCCAAAAACCATGTCATCTGTTGCAGAACGAAGGGTTGGAGATCGCAGAAATCGCCTGACCGAAAGACTAGAGCTGGACAGAAGGGAGCCACAGCCAATGATTTTAATAAATAGGCCCCGTTTGGCCGGACTCCGGGTGGCTCCGGCACCCGCCGCCAAACACTGTGGCGATACTGTGCACCCAAGATGTTTTTCTTCCTCCTTCCTCCTCCTTTTCTCTCTCACTGAGACCACCGGAGCCGGAGAAGCTCGTTTTTTCTAGCTCCCGTGGCTACCGTGCAGGAGCCGGAGCCCCGCCAAACGGGCTCATAGTCTATTGAATTCGATGGATGAAAAAAGAACAATTTACCGACAAATGGTCCCTTTAGTTCCCCGGCAGCAAGAGCAACCATGGGAGCGGGAGCTACAGCCACTGATATGCTGCTTCAATTTGGTGACCGGAGCTAGAATCACACGCGCGATTTAATTGGATTGGAGGATCGGATTATTGTACACATGACGAAATCATCAAAAGAATGCCTCACAAATCAGGTTGCTGCACATACCATACCATCTCCCCTTTTGGATCTAGCTGCAGAGAGGGCAGGGCATGAGTCCGTTCTCGTTGCACGCGGAGCACGGCATGCGGCTGGCGGCCGCGACGGCAGTGGCACTGCCGGCGTCATGGAGCCAATGACTGCCGCTGCACCCGACGCACACCACGAACCACGCGCCGCCGCAGACCGCGCACGGGCCTTCCCCCGCGCCGAGGCGCGGCGCGCGGCGGAGCACGGGCCGGAGCTGGGACCGCTCGTGCAGCGCCACGACCTCCTCGGCGCCGCCGAGGTACCGGCCGTCCACGAAGAGCCGCGGCGGCAGGGGGAACGCACCGCCGCCGCCCTCCTCCTGCCTCTGCCCGCAGCACATCAGCGCCCGGAGCTCCTCCCTGTAGGGCGCGTGCATGGAGACGTCGCGCTCCAGGAACGCGACGCGGAGGCCCTCCAGCAGGCGGCGCACGCGGGCGCAGTCCTCGAACGTTTTGCGCACGCCGCGGATCGACGTGGTGTAGAGCACCACCGCGCGCTCGCCGCCCGGAGGGCACCGCAGCTCGAACGCCTCCAGGGGATTCGCGACGCCCGGTCCTCCTTCGCCGCCGCCGTTGCCGGCCCCGTCCTCGCCATCGTCGATGTCGTCGTCGTCGCGGCGTTTGGACGCCTCGAGCGCCTGCGCGTAGGCGACGACGGCGCGGCGGAAGGCGGCGAGGAGGTCCGGGTCGAAGAGCGTCGCCGAGGCGAGGTCCGGCCGGCGGTAGCATGTGGCACCATCAGCGGGCTCCTCCCCGAGGCCCGAGCTTTTGTCATGGTGGTCCGAGCTGAGCTTCAACTTCTTGGCCTTGCGCGGGGTGACACCCGGCGAGACGTTCTCCTTGTCGTCGCCGTCGTCGTCATCGCCTCCGCCGCCGGGCACCTCGGGCGCAGCCCCCGCTTCATCGACCAGCGGCGGCTCCTGCGGCGCCGGTTCTTGGAGGTGGCCACACGGCGTCGCGGGCAGCTGAGGCGAGGGCCCGGCACCGGGAGGCAGCGCGAGGAGGAGGTTGGAGGACGACTGCGCGGCGGCGTTGGGGAAGGACTGCAGGGTCCTGAGGATCCTCGATCTGAGCCCTCCCATTTCTCCTCGCCTCCGTCCACTCTCACTCACTCACTCACTCTCTCGCCCTGAGGTGTGATCGCAACTCGCAAGTCGCAGTTGCTGGCCGTTGCTAGATTCTGGGAAGTGGAATTGGGGAGAGCAAAGGGAGCAGGGGACGGATCAGTTTCTCTGCGCGTTTTTTTCTCTGTCATAATTTTATTTGGGATGGGTGGGCGCAGACGCCAAGGGTGCGCCCGCCGTTGGGTGCCTTACTGCCTTGCAACGGCTAGAAATGAGGGTGAAATGCCAGCCACCTTGCCGTTTCCAAAGCAGGCGAGCAACGGCTAACTAAGGTCTACAGCCATCACAGAACATCTGGCACCAAACAAACTGTCAAGAGAACCTTAACGACTTGTGGAAACAAAATGTATATATCATGGTACAATTTTTTTTTTCTCACGACAAATCAGCCAACGGTACTTTTCAGCTGGGCTTTTAGCAAAGCGAACAGGGCCTAGTCTGATCATAAGTCAGCTGATGCAGCACACTTCAGTAGCGAGTACCATACCCAGCTTGCTCGGTGGTACTACTGTTGCAGCAGCCAGCTCTCTTGACAAATTATGGTACCGAGCAAGCTGCCAAGCTCAGCAGCCAGCTCTCGTCCTTGTCAAATTTTTAAGAGAAAATTTGCCCATTGCCATCAAAATGTATACTGCTTCCTAATAGCTTTCCTTATCTGCCATCAATTTGTGTTTTTTTCCTCAACTGCCATTATCCTGAGGAAGAGCCCAATTCCGTTAGCAATCTGTTAGACCGGATGGGGAAGATAGTTTTACCCCTCAAAAAAATTTGCCCAAGAATTCCTTGCATGCTATTGATGTCCAGAATAGTACTCAATCAACTACTTAGCCTACGGATTATAGAGATCAAAGGGTTTGGAAGCAAAGAAAAATAGAAAATAAAAAGAACTTAAAATAGCAAAGCAAAGGCAAAGCAAAAGAACTGAGCAGTAGGAGCACGCGGCCTGACCCTGCTGGATGCTGGCAGAGTGGCAGTGGCCGCCTGACCAGAGGCTGCCGTCCTTGCCAAGTGTGGAGTCAGCGACTCTCAGTAGCAGTCGCAAACATGGAGTCGTGGAGGGCAGGGACGTAGCGAGATTGAGAGCGCGCGCCCGATGGCCGGCGCGAGGCCCGCTGGTGGCGGCGGCGGCGCGTCTCCCGCGTCGCGGCGGTGGAACCCGGCCCCGCGGGTGGCGGCGGCGCTGGCGACCGGCTGCGCGGATGCACGGGCTTGGGCGCGGGGCGCTGGCTCGCGGAGATCGCCGGATGCGCCCGGATCGTGGGTCGGGATGCGACCTATGGTTCGTCGGGTGTTTTCTCTTTTTTTTTTTTCCTGTGTTGAATCCGATGGCCGCCGATGGCTGCTTCTCTTCATCTGGGCAGGGGCAAAATCGGACGGATTCAGATCGGCTGACTTCAGCCCCATCGATGTATGGCTGCAGTCGCAAAAATCGAACCGTTTGCATCCAACGGTTTTGACTCTCCACGCTTTCCATCTAGCAGGCCACCCTGCTTGTCCAGCCCATGGAAGCCCACCGCGCAGAGCTGCAACGGGGGAGGGCAAGGCGGAGAGGTTTGGGGCTGGTACTGGTCCGTTTTGGTTCACTGCGCAGAGCTGGTCCGTTTTGGTTCACTGCGCAGAGCTGGTCCGTTTTGGCTCACGGAGCCAATTATAAAGATTAAAAAGGGGTGAATTATTATATATTTCTATCAACATATACTTTTGCTACTGACCGAATTCCACTTATACTGGGAGAATTGATATTTTGCAGAATTGTGTTAGAGCGTATAGACTATCTGAAATATAACAGAATTTTTCCAAGAATGGTTCCCAGAACACTTGTACCATATATATGCCATTCAGGCCAGCACAAGTCAAGGCAATAAGAATGTAACAGAAATATGTTATGATGATGTTGGAATATAGAAAAGGCACTACTGATTTTTGAAAGTTCACAGTCTGCATAAAGGTGTCCTTGTACTACTGCTTCTAGTATCAAGTGCATATGAAGCTGCAAAAAATGTATCATGACTGAACTTTATAATTCACCCATGAAACCAAAAGCTATACAATTCCCACATTGTCTAAAAGGTCATGAATCTGCAAAGCATCACCACCAATCCAAAAGCTCCAAAAACACTCCTAGAAATCAGCATTAAGATCACCGGTGCTTTCTCTCTGCAGAATAAAAGAACAAAGTATTAAACTCTTTACATTCTTTTGGACATAAAAAATCATCACTTAGAAATATTACCATCAATAGTTCAGAGAAAGCAGTCAAGTATGATTCATCCCTTCATTGGGACATGAAGTGCTAGGAGGCATATCCTGTACTGCTGTAGTTTCTTGTGCCAATTTAGGTGCAGATTCTTGTGCTTTTCAATAAAAGAGAATAAAAGTTACACAACTGAATATTTTTACAACTAAACACAAATAATGTTTTTGGTGCAGATACATACCATTGAACCCTTATCATTCTTCTTGCTGCCTTTCTTTGCAAATTTGCGCTTCTTATCAAGCCAAGTTCTTTTGCGTTTTGAGGTTTTTGTTTGCACATCCTTTTTCTTCAGGCGTGCTGTACTCAACAAATCACTTGATGGAGTAATATTCATGGGAACTGTGACTGCCTCCACATTATTAGTGCAACCATTAATTTCTTCTTCAACTTGCTTGCTAAGAATGTCAAGTGCATTGTTTACTAACAAGATGCACCATGGATGGCTGGCCGCTCTATGTGCTAAATTCTAAAATTTACGCGACATATTTTTGTAATGAATCATTTCGTCTAATCTTGGATTCTCTATTATGTCTTGGCCTTTGCTGTCATGTATTGTGCCGCTGCGTGCTTCACGTGTCCATCGCTTGAGTACATATTGTGTGGGTAGTGATTTGATATTCATCAAATCAAGGACTTTTAGAGCATGTGCACATAATATTCCAATTCTACTAAACTGCCCACAACTGCATGTACTGGTTTGTTCTACAGGATCACCAATAACTTTATACTCCTTCTCCAATGTACAAGTTCCATCAAAACTCCCAATTGACACAAGATATTCATGGTCACCTTCTAATATCGTGGTACATGCTGCCATGGACCTTTCGTATTCACCTTGAAAAGCTTCGAATATTACTGGTGTGTATAGCTTGCTAGCTTGGATTAGCATAGGTGTCCTCATTTTGATTCTAGGTAATTTTTTTCTTGATTCAAATTCAGAATTCAGCTCATTATTTCTTTTATCTTCCACCAACCTTTCAAAATGCTTAAGGAACCGAATTATATCAAAATCAGATTTGAAATGTCTCTTCAGATCGCTATTTAGACTCTCACTCAATTGTGTGCTTCTCATGCCTAATGTGAAGACATTCTTCATGAAACATTCAACCCATTTTTTCTTCAACTTATATATACTATCCAACCAAGTTTGTTTGTTCGTCTTTGTCCTCATCATATTGAATTCATGATCAAATGTTGCCTCATCTTCGTACTCATACATACATGCACTAAAATCTACGATAATACTAGGTTCTTCCTGGCTGCCTTCATCTACATTTTTTCTGAAGATCTTGTTTTCTTCTTGCTGCCCTCAACTATATTTTTAGGAGAAACACTTGATTCTTCATTTTCAGCAAGATGTTTGACAGTATTCTGCATAATATGGAGTGTACACAAACCATGCCATGCTTCTAGAAACACCTCCTTAACTGCTTTTCTCATTGCATAATCTTGATCAGTATAGATTGTTTTTGGTTGCTTTCTATTATGTGCTTTCAGGAAGGTCTGAAATAACCACTTGAATGACTCAAATGTCTCATCATACATTAGAGTAGCACCAAAAACCATTGTTTTCCTAAAATGATTGAACCCAACAAATACACCAAAAGGCCTACTCTATTTATTTGTTCCAAAAGTAGTGTCAAAACTAACAACATCACCAAAATATGCATAATCAGTGAGCATTTTAGCATCAGCCCAAAAAATATTTGCTATTTGTTCTTCCTGGTCCATTTGCAATGCATATTGGAATGATGGGTTCTCAGCAATTTTCTCCTGAAAGTACATAAGCATGCTTCCTGCTTGACCATATGCCATCTCTCGTTGTCGCTTGCCTCGTAAATAGTTCTTGTGATCACGGAGTGTGTAACTGAGATTAAGCGAGCCACCAACTTGGATAGTAGCCAACTCATGTGCCAATTTGGGCCAAATTCCCGCATCATCTGCTGTCTCAATCTCAAAACCTTGTAAATTTGAAATCTTCCTTTGAGACACCATCAAGTGTGAGGTTTGTGGCAACTGAAGGACGTGATTGTGTTTCAAAATCAGATCAGCCACTTTATAATTTCCCTTCTCCCGGTCTAGTACAAGACCCATGCGAACTTGACAATCGGTTCTAGTTTCAGCTCTTGGACACTTTATTAGACGACCTCTTTTATCTTCCACTCTATGACCCTCATTTGCACAAACATATCTGCAGGATCTAACCATTCCATCGGAACTTCTTTTGTTTGTGTATCTTTTTCTAACCTCAAAGCCCTTTTGACCTCCATAACTAACCCAAAGCATCCAGGCCTCATTAATATTACTGAATTCCATGTCAACTTGAGGTAACAATCTAGGAATGAAACACTCTCTACAAATACATGATTAGAAAATGTTATGTGTGCTGCTAAGTAAAAATGTGAACAACTATAGGATCTCATGGACAAAAATGAAAAGCCATGGTGTAACACACCTTTTCTCTTCCATCTTAAATATCCAGATTTAGTTTTGATGCAGATTTTCCATCTCAATCATGCAGATTTTCCATTGAATCAAACCCTAAACAATAGAATGAGTCACTAGGGACGACAAAAAGGAACTAAATCAGAGTAACCTGGAACCTTAGTACCTGGGCACCTAAGCACGCACGTGAGGATGCAGAACAACGAGACGATGGCCGGCCGACACTTGAGCACGCAGGACAACGAAGACGATCGCCTTGTGCCTTCCCCTCGCGGTTCGCGCCAAAAACATGAGCAGCCTCGCGCCAAAGGAGTCAGGGGCCGCGCCAAAAAGCATCTCTGCGTCAAAAGGAAAAAAAACGAGAGCACAAACAGGCCGTCTCTTCATGGGCCGAGGACCAAATAGCTGTAAGCATTCGTCTCCTGCTGCTGCCCTCCGATGGGGAGTGGATGGACTGATTTTGACGACTGCAGCCAAACGTCGTTTCCAGTGAAGTCAGCCGATCTGAATCTTTGGACACTACTTTGAGGTGAACAGGCACACACACGCCACGGCGTCTGCTCAATGGCAATTAAGGAAACCAACTTTGTAATCAGATGGCAGTTAAGGAAAGAAAACACATCTATGTAATGGTGATGACAGTCAAGGAATGAAATATAATAATTTAATGGCAGTTAAGGAAAAAGGTGATTTTTTATGGCAACGAGGGAAGTGGTATAATTTTTTATGGCAATGAGCAAATTTTCCCAATTTTTAAGCTACCGAGCAAGCTGAGTACTGTAAATACGGCCAACAAATAGATGCAGCTGGTTGGTGCCTGAAGGTGGTCAGGGAATGACCCTGCCACGCTTACGGCTTTATTTATGGATCATAATAAGTTCAATAACACAAGGCAACAACACACACAACGTCACGTTACAACAGTCGGAGACAGTACTATGTCCTCCAGTCCTCTCCTGAGATCAATGTAGACCACGCTAATAACGAGTTACACTTACACCGGGTAGTACAGACAGAGCTTAAGGTGGCTGAGGCGGCACAGGCCAGTCCATTGCCCCTACCACCGCCATAAAAAAACGGAAGGGTAACTACGTGCTGGGCAGCCTAGTGCTACGCAGCGCTGTCAGGTTAAACACGATTACAATTCTCAAAGCAAATGCGGGGTATTGTCCTAAACACACAACGCAACAGAGCCCCATCTGAGACCAATCTCCCTTATGTGCACCTCACAGCAGAGGCACCAGGTTGGATCTGCCCCTTCTTGTCGCAGTTCGCTGCCGTCGGTTCTTGGGGGGCAGTGTTCACCTGGCCTGAATTCTCGGCCCCCTTTTCTGCCTCAGCTGGAGGAGCATCTGCCTTTGTCTCAGACACAAGCGGGGCTGCTGGTTCAGTGGCACCTCCATTCTCTTTCTTCTCTCCCTCTGAAGATGCCACGGAAGGCACCGCAGATTCAGCTGCCTGACCATTCTCGGTCTTCTCCTCTTTCTTCTCCTCATCAACAATTGCAGGGGGAGCTGATTCGGACTCAGCTGGCTTTCTGTCTCCTTTATTCTCAGATTCTGGGGCAGCAACATTATTAGGCTGTGCTTGGCCTTCGGTGCTTTGTTCAGTCTTCTCAGCTGCATCTACAGCAGGGGCCACCTCTTTCTCATCAGTCTTCTCTGCTGCATCTACAGCAGGGGCCTCCTCTTTCTTATCTTCACCTTCCTCAGTCTTCTCTGCTGCATCTACAGCAGGGGCCTCCTCTTTCTTATCTTCACCTTCCTCGGTCTTCTCTGCTGCATCTACAGCAGGGGCCTCCTCTTTCTTATCTTCACCTTCCTCGGTCTTCTCTGCTGCATCTACAGCAGGGGCCTCCTCTTTCTTATCTTCACCTTCCTCGGTCTTCTCTGCAGCATCTGCACCTGGGGCCTGTTTCTTCTCGTCTTCAGCATTTTCAGCATCTTTCATCTCCACATCGGTACCTTTACCTTCCTCCGAAGCACCATCTTCTCCAACCTCATTTGCATCTTCTTTTTCCTCCTTTTTGCCCTTCTTAGAGCTTGATCTTCCCCGTTTAGGGGTCTTCTCACCCTCTGGGCTCTCAGTTGCCTTGACCTTCTCGCTTAAGCGTGCTGAGCGTCTGGGAGTATCACCTGCTTACAAGCTTTTTAGAGGGAGCAGCAAGACATTGAATATTGGGAAACCTACTAGTACCAAAAGAGATGAATTTACAATATAACTAAGAAGAAGTGATAAAGAAATGATGAAACTAGATGCCTACTGGTTCCCCAATCAAACTCTGAAGATGCAGGGCCTCCAGGATGAGCTTTCAGGTACTGGGTCAGCTGTCTCTTGCTCTTAATTTCCTCACCAGTTGGGGAAACAAAAATAACCTCAAATCGTCCACCTCGAGTTGGGGCAAGCTGGGATATAACATGAACAAGTTAGCGTTAAAAATATGCAATGAAACTAAAACAATCAAACATGGTATGAGCCAATTTGAACTCTAATTCAAGCTGCTTGTAGGTAATGTACTTATATAATACGACCACCGTAGCAAAGGGCCAACTTGTTATAGATATATTCATTTCAACAAATATTGTCTGCCAGTTTCTAAGTATATTCATTTCAACAAATACATCCACAGCAGCAGGCTCACTGTCATAACTAGGACAGAACTGCAGTTCATTCCATGAATAGACAACCGGAAAATGAACACATCTGAGGAAAACCTTTTTTGCCAACCTTCAGAAAATAATTAAGCTAGTAGGCCCATATTCAATTTTAAGAATGCAACCAGTCCGAAAAGGTGATAAAGTAGACTCATGCCACCAGCCGATTTCAAATCATCATAATCTCTTGCAACACGAGACTATAATAAATAACATGAACAAGATTACAGAAGTTCAAGCAAGATATATGTGAAAATATCCACAGTGCTATTGATCCTCTTTCTCCCAGTATCTTTAGATGAAGCCCTCATTTTCAAACCATGTACTATCACCCAAAAGAAGAAAAAATTCCCCTCAAAAAAAGAAGAAGGAAAATTTCATGATCTACACAAAACAAAAATAAAGCCAACAGTCCTGCATGATTATCACTTGTTTTAAACATAGAAATCGACAATCAAGCATATGAAACTTACCACAACAATAAATCATCCCAAAGCCAAAGATGTAATCAATGAGCAAGGACAAAGGAATCCTCACAAAAATGCCAGGGCACTGTTACTATCCAATGAAAAACATGGGTTGGATGTTATAATCATTTGATGCATTTACAACAACGTGTTAATTGTTCCTTACCTATCTGAATTTTCCATACCCTATTAGGCAATTAATGTCTAAGTGTCTATCTAATGAATCTTGAAAGGTTTACATTTCAGTTCATGGAAGAAAATTTGTAAACAATGTGCTAAGATGTTCCCAGGATCCTATCTGTACTATCACCATTATAAACCAAGTGAAGGTAACTCTCCATATTATGCTTATTTTTCCTTTCATTTCATAGCAGATGCAAAATCATGCTTAGTAGGCTAGCAGCACCACGCTCAATAAGCCACACACCAAGCCTCCACACAGATCAGCTAAAAACAATTTCAAAGAAGTTACACAGTATAACCAAATAAGCCAAAATCCTATAACAAAATAAGCCAAAATCAAAAGAGAAGATGTCAATATAGGTTAAGATGTTGCTAAGGACCAGATGAACTCATGATTGATTGGGTATAGTCTAGTCAAGTACTCCAGTGTTACCGGGTTACAGGTGCAGGTGCAAGTGTCCGATTCGGGTGCAGTGTACTATACAAAAATAGGAACAGAGATTCGTCTAACAAATATTACTGTTATCTTGCTTTTTACACCTACTATATACATGTAAGGAAAATTAAAGAGTATATTTCTGCCTCTTCCTTAGTATGTTAGAAGAGGAAACAGATTAGAGTCCAAATTGTAATTAAAAATCCACAAGATATATATATATCCAATAATGCAAGATTAAGAAGGAAAAGAAAGAAGAAAAAAAAGAGTGAGATAGGCTGACATTTACTGGCCCACAGAGCCCACCTCTTCGTTTGTTGTGGCTGACCTAATCCCTATAAACTCAATGGACTAAAGTGCAGAGCTGCCACCAGTCACCAGTCCTTACTGCCTTGATCTTACAAGCACTAGAGCTGTGTCGCCACATAAGCCCTCCCTAGACACCATCTCTCACCAATGGGTACCAAAACAGATTGCTTGCCTCCACCTCATTTATCCTTTGTGCTACCCTCCATTTCACTGAAGACATCTACGCTGCCAACCTGTATGGCATTAAACATGACCACTGGCGTCCAACACGAGTCAATACGCCAAAAGAAAAGGTGTGCATGTTCCACTAACACTGGTCATCGAGATATAGTCTCTTAACAGCATCTATCTATGTCAGTGGAACTAAATACATTAATTCAGGCCAGCCAACTCAAACATTAATCAAGACTCAGCAATCCACCAACCAAAATTACCATAGAAAACAATAACAGAAGCAATTTGTCGTACCCGTAAGCAAAAGCAACACATGACTAGAAAACCTACAATCTAACCAAATCTACAATAAGTTATTCCACATGCCAGAAAAAGCCAGTATAGAGGTGGGACCATGATTTCCAATTCCCTTTAAATGAAAGAAACTAGACCTATTCGCATCTGACTCGTGGCTGGTAATTGAGGTTTCCATGCGAGCTCTTAACTTTTATGCGTATGCAGCAAGAAATTTCATGATTTTGTTGAAGAAAACCCGGGCAAAACGACAAACTTTGTTTTGACACTTTCCCAAGAAAAAAGGCATTGTTTTAAAAGCTCAAATTTCCGGCCTCAAGTTCAGCTATGCTGCTTCATCCCAACTCATGGTTGTATAGCGTTGATTAGGACTTAGGAGTTGGAAAGAAAGCATTGGGCTCGCTCGGCGGTGCTAGTAGCACAGTGGGCTGCAGCTGCTGCTGTTTATTTCCTCTATAGAAGAACAGTGATTGCAAGTGCGCTGCTGCAGCAAGCTTTTCCGAGAAGGCCGATTGAGCATAGATTTCATTTAAATTCCGGAAATGGATGAATTTAGAAACATAGAAACTTCAATCCAATCAAATCACCAGAGGATAGCCCATAGTTGGAACATCGAACAGGCTTCCTTAAGAGACACAACATGAGATAAAATAGATGGCGCAACTATGGTAAACCATGTTAGGATCCACCCGTACTGAATCAAATAAGAACCAAAACACACTATCCAGAGCTCTAAAGGCGAAACTTATACAGTACAAAAACGTTTATGCTCTGTTCGTCCAAAAATAAAAGATAAAAGTAGCATCACGGCTACAACAAAACTACAACCAAAAATCAGCTAAACCGAATCCAACGGGATGGAGGACCTAATACATCTACATAAATGGACTCAGATGCTGCAAAAGCGAGAGCTATAAAACTGCAGTCTACAATACTCGCACTCGCACATGGGTTGGACTCGGATGCTGCAAGCCAATCGCGAGCACGAACAGTGAGTTGAAATCAAGCTCCTAAACCATATAACCGTGTTCGCATGGCCTTAAGCAAAATAACAACGCCCCCAGGAACGACATGAATCAATCGAGCTCGAAACCCTAGAACCCGACGCCCCAGCTCTGACCGTTCGGTTAGGGGAAACCGCAGCGGAATTCGCAGAGACAGAGCCCGAGACCCCCAGATCCGAGCTCTAGCAGGCCCCCCGGAGCCCTTGGAACCGCGACCCTGGGGCCCGAAGCAAGCGGCGTGCAGAGAGCGTGGGAGGAAAATTGGAAGGGGCCAGCCAAGCGGGCAGTTAAGGGCAAACCTTCTTCGTCCAGCCTGAGGGTGCGGGGAGCTCGGTTGTGCTGGGCTCCTTCTTCTCCGGCGTCTCCTCGACCGCCGCTGCCGCCGCCGCCTCCTCGCCGGTAGCCATACCGCTCTCCGGGTTTCGAGTTTCCTCTTCCCGCTCTCGCTGTCGCAATTCGCAAAGGCTGATGCTGAATTGGGGAATGGGGTGGGTTGGACTTGGAACGGGGGCGCCGCGGGGACGGCAGAAATAACGGCCCTCCTGGTGGCCTGCGCCCCCAAGTGTCTCGGCCACGCAGACGGCGTGAGCGACCGGGAGCGCACCTGGACCCGGTGGATGTGCTCGTGTGAGCCTGCCGGCAGATCCGTGCGGAGCTCGAGAGGTGTCGGGATCATGGACCGGGTGCAGGAGATGCTATCGTGCGGCTGCGGGGAGCAAACGGCGGGACCGAGAAGATGGCAGAAAACCGCATTGCATTCCGCGAGACTGCACGATTCTAGTCCGTTGTTGTGCCGGCGGAAGGCAGAGACCATTGACAAGTGGGGCACGCTTGGACCTTGGAGGGCCCAAGCGTGGGAGTGGGAGGCCGGCTCGTCAGCGGTAGAAACGTGGCGAGTTTCGATTGGTTCGGGCTTGGATAGTGAGCGCAGAGGTAGTAGATGCCGATCGGCCGATCATATCGGTCGCTGGGCACGTGCTGCGCTCGGAGGGCGTGGGATCTGGGAGGAACACGTGGCCCGGTCCGGGAAACGACAAAGTGGGACGGTTCCGCCGCGGTCGGCAATACGTCCGCGTCAAAATGAACTTTTTAAGTTTTCTAAAATACGGAGTAACTTTGATCAAATTTGTACAACAAATTATTAATATTTATGATGCATAATAAATATTATTAAATTAGTTATTAAATATATTTTTATAATAATTTTATTTAAAAATATAAATATTGCTAATATTTTATATAAATCTAGTTAAACTTAGAAATGTTTGATCACCATGAAACCCAAAACGACACTTACTTTGGGACGGAAAGAGTACTGAAGTATTATTCCTCTGGTGCTGTTTGTTACTCCCTCCGTCTCAAAAATAGAGTCGCTATGGGAATCGTGCTAGTCAAATTTTCTCAACTTTGACTAGATTTGTAGAAAATGCGTGCAACATTTATATCTCCAAATAAGTTTATTATGAAAGTATATTCAATGATCTACCTAATGATACTAATTATGTACCTTAAATATTAATATTTTGTTAAATATATTTGATCAAAGTTAAGAGTTGCTGACTTTTTGAAAAACGAGAATGACTTTTTTTTTTAAGACAGAGGGATTAGGTGCCAATGTGTTTTAGAAAACGTCCCTCTTGTTAGGCGTTTCTTAGAAACTGATGTGGGAATTAACTGTTGGATGGAAATCGTACAATTGGCGTTTTTATTAGCTCTATATTCACAGGCGGAGTGCTCCTTAGAGCCATGCAGCAAAACTTGGATTCAATAGCAAGGTTGCAGCGTGACAAGTGCTACCTCAGTATCTGGTGTTGTTTATAACAATCCACATTGGTTTTCTAGCTCTCCTTGGTATCTGAAATTTGAGCTCCTGCGCCTAAGAATTGGTACCAGAGGGAGTAAAAAACTCAAACTAAATGTTTAAGTCACCTCACTTGTCTTAGCGTGATTCGATACTACTGCTCTGTTTTTTTGGCTGATAAGCCATGGCTGAAAGTACTATTAGCTGATTTATTATGAGAAAAAAATAATATTTGTTGACTAACAAAAAAATAGCTTATAAATCAAGCAAACATGGCGTACAAGCTCGTTCAGCTGCGGCAGCAGCAGCTGTGTAGTTCAACGGATTAAGTCTTACATCATGCCATTGCGTAAGACATGACTCAAGATGCCATGCTAGTGCGTGCAGATGGTGCCGGACATGTGTAGATGAAGTGGCAGACTCGGTAGGGCCACGTTTAATGGCATGACTGAGTCGTGCCACATGCCCTATAGCCCTCATGTGGTTGATCACATCAAGCTCCATGTCATGACTTAGTCATACAGATGGCAACAGGTCAGATGTGTGGGTGGAGCAAACAATTGTCCACGACAACACCTGCAAAAATACTGTCACACCCGTCCTTAACACACCCTGCGGGTGCAATTTTGCACTCGTGCCCGTGGCCGTGGTTTTTTTTCTTAAACACGTAGGAGAATTGCGCATTATTTCATTAAAAAGAAAAGAATGTACATAAAGTACAAGGGCAGAAGAGTTTCCAACACACTAGCATACAAAGAAACTTACAGCCCCACACCTTGCCCTTTGGGAAAGAAAACATGACCAACACTGACGGAGGCAAAATTAGCTGCTCTAAGTTCAACACTGATCAGAAGCTCGTGTAGGCTCTTTGTGCCAGCCATTTGCAATGATCTATAACACCAACATAATATTAGGTCTTGCTCCATCAAAAGCAGATGCATTTCGGCGTTTCCGAATCTCCCTGGACACGAGAATAACGAGAGAATTGATGAGACCCTTCCTGATTTCCTTTCGCACCATCTTAATCTTAATTGAATGGCACCACCAACTAGAGAACATGGTATTGTTGGGTTGTGGTGAGCCGGTGAGATAGCAATCTGGCCCAAAGATTGGAGAATTATGCACCACACTTGCGCGAATACACATGAGACTAGAATGTGTTGGATGGATCATCGAACTGGTCATAAAGTGGGCTGTGGGCAGGCAACGGGATGCGAAATTAAGGGCTCATTTAGTTCCTCCTTTTTAAGTTTACTCCCTATCTCATCGAATGTTTGGGTATATGCATGGAGTATTAAATATACACTAAAAAATAACTAATTTCATAGTTTGCAACTAATTTGCAAGACGAATCTTTTAAGCCTAATTAGTCCATGATTTGATAATGTGGTCCTACAGTAACACATGTGCTAATAACGGATTAATTAGGCTTAATAATTTCGTCTCGTGTATTACTGACGGATTCTGTAATTTATTTTTTTTATTAGTATCCGAACACCCCATATGACACTCTTATGTGACACCCGATGTGACACCCCAAAACTTTACACCTGGATTTAAACAAGGGCTAAAGTCCACTCTTGGAAAGTGAAAGCATCTAGGCTCCTAGTTGAGTTTCGATGATTAATGACAATACGAGATTACTATGATTAACGTGTATTTTTCAGATGTAATTAAGTTAGGTCATGGTAATGGTAATTGATTGGGCAATCATGGTTGCCATGCCCCTACGATGAAAATCGTTTCGATTTTCAAAGGATGGACGACAATGTTAATGATGGACTAGTTCTAAGTGTCGTTTGGTGTTGAAGAGACACTTAGAATAGTTTATGATTTTGTTTTTCCTTTGGCCGTACTATTAAGGGGGTATAGACTAGTAGCTTGACCTATGTGAGTCTAGTGGGTTAGGTGTGGTGCACACTTGTCAAATCTAGCACTAGGTAGCTCCAAAGTAGCCATAAGATCAATTGGAGAAAACTTCATTCACATATGATTTCAAGTTGAAAATGAATGGAGGGTCAAATGTTGACCGGACGCTGGTTCCGGTGTGACCAGATGCTGGCAGTAGAGTTCGGTCAGTTCATTTGATCAAGTAAAGTCGTCTGGATGCGACCGGACGCTGAGTGAAATATGACCGGACGCTGGGTGTCGGAGTCCGGTCAACTCTAGTAAGGTTCCAAAGAGGGAGAATCCTGATCGGACGCGTCCGGTCAGTGCTGACCGGACGTTGGTTAGGTTTCGGCTACTGACCGGACGCTGAGCAGCAAAGTGACCGAACGCTGGGTGCCAGAGTTCGGTCAACATCAGTAAGGGTCCAGAGAGCAGTTTTCGTGACCGAACGTGTCCGGTCAGTGCTGACCTGACGCAGGTCAGAGTTCGGTCACAACTTAACGGCTCAGTGGTGGGGAGAACTGACCGGAGCGTCCAGTCACCTTGACCGGAGCGTCCGGTCACCCCGTAGAATGCTGACTCAGGTACATAACTGTTCGTTTTGAATAAGGGGGTATAAATACTTCCTCTATTCATTCAAGGGAGTATTCTTGCCCATTTCAACAGTCAAGAAACACCCTTGAGAGTGACAGGGAGAGCAAGAGCCTAATGAGGTGATTGAGATTTGAGAATCCAAGATTAAGGTCTCATTAGCAAAAAGAGAGTAGCAAGTGTGCATCCACCCTTCTCATTAGGCTTGTTGTGGTCAAGTGAGAGTTCTTACTTGTTACTCTTGGTGATCGCCATCACCTAGACGGCTTGGTGGTGATTGGGAGTTTGGTGATCATCCGAAAGAGCTTATGGATGACCCAACTCAAGTTGTGAGCGGTTGTGGGTGATTTACCGCGACGGAGTGTCGAAGAATCAACCCATAGAGAGCACTTGATCCTTGCGTGAATCAAGGGGGAGCTACACCCTTGCGCGGGTGCTCCAACGAGGACTAGTGGGGAGTGGCGACTCTCCGATACTTCGGCAAAATATCACCGCGTTCCTTCTCCTCTCTTTACTTTGAGCATTTACTTTTGAGCAATTCAATTCTTCTCTTTACATTCTTAGAATTGTCATGCTAGAGTAGGATTAGAACTTAGGGTGCTAAACTTTTGTGCGGTAGATCATTAGAATCACTTTCTAGGCATAGGGGTGAGGTGGGCTAAGTGTAGAGTTTAATTCTTGCAAAGATTTTTAGAATTAGCCCAATTCACCCCCCTCTTGGGCATCTTAATCCTTTCAATTGGTATCGGAGCCTCATGCTCACATTTTTAGGCTTGACCACCTGGAGAAAGATGTTTCACGGGGATGGGCATCCTTCTATCTTTAAGGGAGATGAGAGAGATGATTTTCCTTATTAGAAAATCCGCATGGAGGCGTATTTAGAAACTCTAGATGTTGGAATTCTTAGAGCCACCTCTCAAGGTTTTCCAAAACGTAGGGATCCCACGCACCTTCAAGGCGATGAAGTGAATTACGAAAAATAGAATGCAAAGGCTAGAAACACCATTTTAGAGGCCTTTGCAAAGATGTGTTTAACCGGGTGAAGAACCACAAAGACGCCCATGCACTATAGTCGGATATTTGTGCGCTCCATGAGAGAACTAAGAGCGAGCATGAGGAACGATA